ATTTATTCAAAAAATTTTCATATTTTATTTATTTTTTAGAAATGTTCTACATTGTACTAAATGGGGTTGTACACATAATCATCGTGATAAGGAATCTGGTGATAATGGAGGTAAATATTTAACACCGACACAACAACGATTCAAAGAAATTCATCATCTCAGGAAACAACTAAAGTTTGCGTTTTTTCATTCAAAAAAAATGGTTTAAAATTCTTGTCATTTTTTACGCTCAAAAGTAATACACTTAGCGTAGGAAATGATTTTATTTTATCCTTTTTGTTGCTAATTGAAATAACTGTTTTTCATTGCTAAATTAATTTAATCGTTTTTTTCTAATTACCTGCAAAATTTATTAATTATATCACTTACAAATCTCAGGTTAGCATTGGCTCAATTAGAAGATAAAGATTTGCATTTAAACGAGTTACGTGAGCAGTTACATAATTTGGAATCAATGATTGGTCACATTAAAAGCGTGGATGGACAGCAACAATTGCTTCGGAACAAAGAATTCAATGAAGATTGTGAGCGTGAGAAGCAAAAACTTATCGATAAGCATGAGGTGAACTATTGTGCCAGGTTTAAATTAAATTGAAGTGAGGAAATTAGCTCTGTTAACAGTAATGATATCATATTTTTTGATAGAAATATGCATTTATCAATAACTATTTTCTTTAGGTTATTTATCTTTTTTTTACACACGAACAATTCCATGTCGTTAAATAAATAAATATTGATAAGTTAATTGAAGATCCGTGTGCGACAATTGATCCAGGAAGCAGTTGATGCACGAGCAGAGATGACAAAACTACAAATTACATTAAAAGAATTGGAAAAAGCAAATGTTAAAGTGGAAGTTAAAGATATGGAAGTAATGACAGAAACAACGGATGAAATATTTTATTCTTCGGAACTGCCATCACCACCATCGCTACCACCATCACAACCACCGTTATCACCGCTACCACAAATGTCATCTTCATTTCCACCTTCACCTCAGGTTTCTCTTCATCACAAATCTCTTTTAAATTATTGGATTATCTAGCAAATATTTAATTTACAATCCAAGAAATAAGAAATTTAATTTAGACAATAAAATGGAAGGAAAAAGTAGAAATTTTTAGGCTGAACATGTTATGGAATCTCGAACAATTCAATTTCCACAGGATTTACCACTTCAGTTGCAAGTTAGATGTTGAAATTCTCATAAAATGGCACAGATATCTTCTCTTTCCCTTTCTTTTTCTCTCTCTCCCTCTTCCTCTCTTTCTCTACTCTCATCTGACACCTAAATTTTGTGCAATTTATGTATAGGTGTGGGAAAGTGTATTTATCATCTTAATTTTTATAAATTTTTAAGTAAACTTTCTGATAAATTGTACGAAATTAAATCTTTTCTAAATCTAAAAATTGATTAATATATTGTCAACATTTATAAATTCCTACTTATTATTATACAAAAAATATTGCGAATCGAATAAAAAAATAAGTGAATAAAATTCAATCCTTTTATTCAGGCATATGAAAATGAGGCAAAGGCATGGAGAATGAAAGCTGCTCAAATGGAAATGGTCATTAAAGATCAAATATTGAAAAAACAACAAAGCATTACTCCGGAATTGGAAAAGTATCGAAATGAAAATGAACACTTACGAGCATATATTAAGTATGCATAAGTTTTAATTCATTCAATTAATCAGTGAATTAGCATAGATCAAAATTAAATTTGGATTCAAAAGTATTATCTTAAATTACTGTTTTGACTTTTTTATTTTTGATCAGCAAAATTTCGAATTTTGAAGAAATTTTTGCAGGAAGATAGAAGAAAATACATCAAATCATACAACGATTGAATCACAATTGGAAAAAAATTTAATTCCTTGTTTGCCAATAAATGTTACTGATTGTGACACAGAACAGTGTGAAGAGCGTAAAAAACAACTCGAGAAAGAAAATCAACGTCTTCTTGAAAAAGTTTCTATCACTTTTTCTTTCTCTCTCTCTTCCTCTCATTTTCAAGATAATCCATGCATAAATTTCAATAAAATAATTGTCATTAAGATTTTTAAAATATATTTAAATAATTTTTACATGCAAAATTTTTAAAAAAAATTCATTGTTCACGGAATTTTTTAGATTAAAGAAGATAAATTACGTTTAAATGAATACGAAGAAGGTATTAATTTGTTACATCATACAATTCATTCGATGGAGGAAGAAAATAAGAAAAATTTCCTTACAATAGAACAAATGTCTAAAGAAATTGAAGAAAGAACTGCTGAAGTAGAAGCTGCTAACATTGCTGTTATACGATTACAGGTTAATTAATTAAATTTAGATATTTCTTGCAAATCTTTTACATTCATTTTTATTTTGTTTCTTTCTTTTTTTTGAAATTATTCATAAAGCCAAATAATTATTGTTTTATGATAATTTTATATACATTTTGTTTTTTTTTGTTTTTTGTTTTATTACAGAGCGAAATGGCAATCAAGACAAAAGCTATTTGCTATTTAGAAGAACGTCATCAGGTTTATCGTAATACAATTTTGGATCATCATCTGGTTGTAAAAGATGAGTCAACTGAAGATTGGAAACGTGGTTTTTCGGATCCACGTTATGTTATTAACGTTTCAAAACGTGTACAAACTGATCTAACTCAAGAAATATTACGAACAAATGAAGTTAAATTTATCAATCTTTCAGATAAATTAAAGGTGTTTGAAGTTTTTTTTTTAAAATAAATCTCTTGTAAAGTAATAAATACAGATATTTGTTAGATAGTAACATCCAAATTTAATCATAAATTAAGATATACCTTTAAATTTATGATTTAAATTACAACTAATTTAATAAACAATCTTATTCAAAAATCTCGTGAGATATTTCTGCTTGATGATATTCTCAATTTTGATCACATTTTGCTTTTCGTTTGACATGCCATACGTTATATAATCATATCCCATTCATGTTAAAATATAATTTAAATGCAAATCGACATCAATGCAGATGCTCGAGGAAGAATTCTCATCGAAAGAGAATAATATGTTGGAGCGTTTTCAAGAAATTGAGAAAGATTTGCTGATCAAAAGTTCTCTGGTTGGTTCATTAGCAAATCAGTTGGAGGAAGCGGATCGAGAAGCAACACGATCATCTGATTTACGTCAGAAAGAACGAGAAGCATTCCAGGCGAAACTATATGAATTAGGAAAAGTCGCTGAAAATATGCCAATTCTACAGTTCGAAATTGAAAAACTCCAGCAAGTAATATGATTAATTTTTCTTACCTCTCATTTTATCATAGAAAATTTAGCCAATTAATGAATGCTATGATAATCATATATCATTACTCTCTTTTACAGTGGTTGTTTTGAAGATTGAAATATGAGAGTAAGAATAATTAATTATATTTGGTGCTAATTAATCTCTAATTGACTACTACAGGAGCGTAATTTAATGGAATATCGACTGAAAAATGCAAAAGAGGAATACGAGGCTGGTTTAGATGCTTTACTGACAGAATCATTGAGGAAGTATCAGAAACAAAATAATTATTGGACCGAAAAAATGTCAGCTATGAATGCAAACAATGAATTGCTTCGAGTATATATTTAAACCGATATTATTTTATTGTTTTAGCATCCATTTATCAGATGTTTTTATGAATAAATCAGATCAGGTGGAGAAATATATGATAACTAATCATTCATCATTAAAAAACTATCGAAGTTATTACTAAATTATCAATTAATTCGTCATTAAATTCATATTTATTAAATTGCTAGCTTAATATTTGAAATCACAAAAAGGTTTATAATTTAACAGTTCTTAAGTTAATTAATAGTCACTAAATTACTGATCATCAGTTTATCATTTCTATTACTATATTATTGTCACACGAGTGTTTGTGCTTTTCATTACTTCAATATTGATACTCTTTAATTTAATGTGAATAATTTTCCTCTTTTCAACAATTGTTGAAAATATTTTCCCCAGAGAATATCAATGCTTACGGAAAGAATAAAAATTCTCTAATTTAAATTATTATCTTTTCAGAATGAGAATATCACTCTAAAGCGCTCAATTGAAGAGATAAAATTACGTACGCAAATACAAAAAGCTGATATGTCGAAAGAGCTTACATCAAGTATCAATCATGTTTATCATCTCAAAAACAAAGTAGGAATTCATTTTTCAACATTCAAAATTAATTAAAATTTGACAAATTCGTAAATTTTTAAGAATCAAGATTTAATTTTTTATGTGTTAAAAAAATTGCTAAAAGAATACATATGATAAACATTTAAAACCTCATTTTACACTTCTATATGATCGATTAGTCACATATAATTAAGATTCAATTCTTTTTGTTCTTATCATAATATCACTTTTTTAGTATATAAAGTTGTAGCATGCTTTGTAGTTGAATTAGATATGTAATTAATAATATATAACACGAATATAAATGATAAATTGAATGTTTGATTTTTTTTTCCCTGTTCAAGAGCAATTCCATTTTAATAAATTTCTAGCAATTGAAACATCTCAAAAATTTTAGTTGAACCGAAGCACACGTGATGTTCAAGTAGATGTACATCCACGTGTTGTTAGCAAATACGTTGCATGTCGACCAAATGCACGGCATAAAATGACTGATATTGAAAAAGGTGATCTATTCGATGAGGTCGAAGAAAGATTAAAGATTTGTCAGGGTGAATTAATTACCACTCGTCAGCAGGTTGAAGTGTTGCAACAAAAATTAGTCGATGATGTGCAAACTCAGGTTCATATTTTTTTTTAAATAGCTTATTTAGCAAATTTATTGGAAGTTATTTCGTTTTAAAGTAAAATTTAATTCTTTCTTTCATACATTGAAGCAATTAATAATGCTAATTTTTCTTTGAAAATATATCTTTTAGTAATAAGATGATCATTTGATAGATATATTGATTGATGGAGTAAATGCTTTCTTTATTTATTTGAACTTTCTGCTGTTTATAATAAATAGCAAAAAATTGAAATAAGTTACGAAAGTTGTCGTTATATTTGTATTTTTAAAAAAATGTTGTCTGGTACTGTTATTGTTATATTTAATTAATTAAAAAAGAGTTAGAGAGAGTGTTAAAGTATATTTCATTTAGATGGAAGATTACCATTCATTGGATACCAATTGGAATTCAATTAATGTTTTATCAACGGATAAGAAATTGAGTACTTCGATGATTGTAAATGGTGAAAAAGAAAGTCAATTCATGATTTGTAATAATTTACGGGAACAAATTGAGGAATTGAAGAAAGAAAATGATAATTTAACAGTGCAATTACATGAAATTAAAATGGAAAAGGGAAATATATTGGACAATCAGCAACAACAAATGTCACACCGTATTTCAGAATTTAATACTTTTCGTAAAGAATTAAATCAGGTGATTTATTATTGAAACATACTGTTTTGTATTACTTCTCCTAATGCAAAAGATAAGAGTGATTTTTCTCTTTTTTGTTTTTTGAATCTATAAAGTAATAATTGATTTGCAGGAACTGGGATGTTACGAGAATGAACGACAGAGATTGGTAGCACGTATTGCAATTTTAGAGAAAGTGGAAAAGGAGCGTGATAAATTGCTTGAACTTCTGAAAAATAAAACAATTTTAGGAAAAAAATGTAGCAATGATTCATCTTCACAACTCATGTTACAAACTAGGTTATTTTAAACGATCAGTTTGGATAATTTAAATATTAATAACAACAAAAAAAAACTTTTCCCGTTATAATTTGCATCCATTTTGGCGAAACTAATACGTACAATAATTTTCTTTTTAATATTTGCAGTAATATTAAAATTAAACTGAAAATCAATGTTGGTATTTAATATCGTTAATTTTTCATAAATATTTCCAGTCCATCATCCATTCGTAGCCAACAGCAGGATTCAATTTTATTCGCTGGTGATCAAACGACAATTGAATTCGATCAAGAAATTCGAATGAAAAAGTTTGTAATTAAATTGAGCGCATTGCAAACATTTGTTCTCTATTTGGTTGAGTTGTTTTTTATTGTTAAAAAAAATAATTTGATAGAAATTTTCTGAAATTTTCGAAAATATAGGACCATCATAGTGTTGGTTTTTTTTCACATAGCTTCTTAAAAAATATAATTTTAACGTGACAAATGTGTGTTGCATATCTCATCTCAATATTTACTTATTAGCAAGATGAAAAAGTAAAAGATAATAAGGATAAATGCTGAAATAGTATCAACAGAGAGCATGATTAGAATAATTATTCCTTTATTCCTTGCATAACTATGACTTTTGAACTCATTTACCTGCACATTAAAATATTAATTAGTGGAAAAAGTTTTATCAGCAAATTATACTAAAACGATGGATTGATTTTTGGAAAGAAGAAAAATGAGTATAAACATTCTCAGCCATTCTCAGCATTTTAAAAGAAAATATTACAGTGTTTAAATCAACTTTTACTTTAATTCTAAATTTAAATGAATTTTATCTTTCAATGTGGAAACTTTAACTGCAATCATAGAAAGATTACACCGTATAAAATTTAGAAATTGAGATTAGGTTGAATTAAAGACTCTAATTTGTCGAATTTCAGTTTGTTCATCATTTTAGTCCTTGAATCTCAAAAATTTTATAGTTTTATATTTTATTATTACTACATTTACTCTTTAAATACTTTGTTAATTCAAAATATGCATTTCCAACTAACTTATTTGTATAAAACGGCGTCAAATTTCAATTTTCAGATGGATATCAGTACCGCACTTATTTACGCTGTCATCGTTAGGAACATCCACAACTGCTGCTAATGAAATAACAACATTACGTGAACGAAATTCCATTCTTGCACAAGACAATGCTCAGCTCAAAGAAAAATTAATTAACTTAAAGCATTTCATTGAATCAACAAAGCGTAGTACGTCACGTGCCTTTATCAGTAATGACAGTACTTCATCGTATAAATCGCTATCGGCAGCTATCAATGAGCACTCCCAACCTTTTGATTTAGCTGCTGATCTCATGCAAGTAAATTCATTAACTATCCTTAGTCATCAATTCTTTTTTGATTTCCTTCAAAAATTTCAAAATAATTTGCCCCAAGTTCTTCAAAGAAAAAAGCTCTTCACTAATCGAATCAAACAATAAATTTTAATTTATTTATTCATTTCCAAATTATGTCACTTTTAGGTACAAGAAGATCTTGAGACTGTTATCATGCAAATTGATGGTTCGATTAAAGATGAAAACAGTAAAAATAGTCATAGAAGTGAATCTCCTTCACATAGCGTACGTATTTTTTTTAGAGTTTCAAATTTAAGATTTTTGTGCAAAAAAATTGATAGAGAAATTATCTTTATAAAAATATAAAACTTCCTCTTCAACAACATATTTCTAAAGCTATAATTAACTTCTTAAAAACTCGAACTTAGAATTTTTCTCTTCGTGTAATCATTAAAATTGTCAGTTAATTGAAGCAATTTTAAATGTCGAATTTTGCTTGAAAAGATTTTCTGATAGGATAGATTCTCCAGGATTGTTAATTTCATGTTATCAAAAGAAGAGGACGAAAAATCTGTAAACTTTCAAACGAAACATAATTTTGTAATTTTTCAGGTAATGAGGCAAAATGTTTCATCTTCAAATGCAGTCGAACTTGAAGATTTGAAAACTACCTTAAAAAAGTCACAAAAAGAATATGAAGCTCTTGCTGAGCAATTGGATCAAGTTACTCTTAATTTTCAAGATGCATGTCGTGAATTGAATCTATACAAGCATGAATTACGTGAAGATGCATTAAAATATTCACATGATATACGTTTACCGAGAAGTAGAAGTTTGGCTGAAATTGGACATGCTACAGTCAATTTA